ATAGTTTCGTGGGGGAAAAGATCTTAATGTTGACGTACGAACCATTTTATCGTCGTTACGGTCAATAAAACTCATATTCTAAACCTACCCTTGTAGATTCACCCGAGTTTTATAATTAGAATCTTAAACTTGAACTTCATCACATAATTTGCCTAAAGTAAAGTTTAAGATGAACTAATTAATGAGAAAAATAATAAATAAATAGGAAGTTTATAACTCTATGTTACACGCGCGTGCATGCTTTGTCTAAATAATACCGCACGTGCTGTGTATTCAACTTTCTGGTATTAATTTATTATAGTGGGGTTGTTTATTAATTATTTGTCACATAATTCTTTATTACTATTTTTATTATTTTATACCTACCATGCTATTGGGCTGACGTGTATATGCATTAAAATATTAGAAAATAGATTTTTTTTTTTTTTTTTGAATATTGTTAATAAACTAGCAATATACATCAATTATTAATCGAAATATAACTAGATAATGTTTGAATCTATTAAGGATAATTATGTTTGAATCTATTAAGGATAATTGCACACCTGTCGATTCAACAATGGTACAATATTATTGATTTTGGATGCAAACTCTTATAATTTTACATGAACGCGCGTAAATATATTCACGATGTTGATTAGAACTAAGTTTAGTTGTATTTGAATGGAAAGTTTAAGGAGTGAATTTATAATGAAAAGTATATTATAAAATAATATAGTGGTGGGAAGGAGAAAAGAATATGAATTTGAATACCACCTCCACATTATAATAATGAAAGGGAGGAATATAGTAGATGACAAAATAGCATTATTTAGAGTGGGTATGGGCTTTAGCTTTTTGTGCCTATTTTGATTTCATTTGGTCTCTTTCGTCTTAATTTCCAAAGAGACTGCCAATTTCAAAAGAAAACGACAAAGTGTTATCCAAATTCTCCGCCCAACGTGTGATTCGTAAAATAGTTATATGATAGTAAAATAGTTATACGAAAGGTGTAGCGATTTCGACGTTGTCTTAAAGAGAGACTTGTTGAAATAGACATGTTTGTGTAGATGTGAACTACATGAACCTAGATAGAAAGGTCTGATGAAGCTTTGCAATGTTTTTAAGGTCTAGCTTTGGGTGTTTGTGTTTCGAGAGAATTCGAGCCACGATTGGATTGGAAAGAAAGGAAGTTAAAAAAGAATTGTGTATTAGAAATTAATATCTAAATCATCCTAAAAATCTAATTTGGTAGTCAACACAATCCTACAGTGTCTCAAATTTGACCATTTTGGAATTATTTGTCAAAAGTAACAATTTAATATTTATTGGGTCTCAATTTTCAAGTAACCAGTGAATTGTAACTTATTTCCTTGGTGGTGAAGTGAACTCCAAACTAGGCAAGCATTGGGTTGATTTGGCTGCACCGGGTAAAAGTTTGTTGTTTGGATCGTATCGACATGTTACCTGAAATATGGGATTGGGTCTAAGACTAAACTGAACACGATCCAATCTTAACTCAAACATCTTTGGCCTTATGATGGCTATACCTTCTAATACTGTGATTATCTTTGTACATAAAATCAGTAATTTGATGTGAGATATTTGATTGGTTGAAGAGGGAAACGAAATATGTTTTATAAGGGTATGGAAATCTCTCCCTAACAAACGCGTTTTAAAACTTTGAGAATAATCTTGAGTTGTTATAAATGGTATCAGAGCTGGGCATTAGATGGTGTGTCAACAAGGACGCTAGTCCCGAAGGGGGACTAGACGCTGGGTAGTGTGGCAGCGAGAATGCTAAGTACCAAAAGGGGATGAATTGTGAGATCCCACCGAACTTGAAATAGCTTCAATAACTATTAACACATCCTATCTATCTATCTATCTATCCCTGCTCAACAAATCAAAATTAAAAGGTATAAACAGACAATTTCCTCGATGGTTTTAGATTGTCCTTCAGAAATGAGAAACCCCTCCCATTTGGATCTCTCTCATGTGGCCATAATCCTAGAAGTAGACCTGACTTGAAAGAAACAGCTCTCCCGGTGGCTAAGTCGTTCAATCTTGGGGTCTAGCCACAGGTGGCTGCAAAACAAGGCCATTTAGACTAAGTGATGGCTGCGGCACTTTCCTCATGAGACATGCCATAATAATATAGATCTCATCCTTTTGAGTGAGTCTCAAGTGGAGTTTTGAGAGGCACTGCCAATAATTCATGGAAAACTATCTCCAGCAGCCTCCCCTTTCTCTTGCACTTTGTTCACATGTTCAGTATTATCATATCATTTGAGGAACTTACTTGTAAATTCCATTTTAGTACCTTCTTCTGGCAAATATCAAGCTTTCCCGAAGAACTTTGTGATTGTAGATTGCTTTGACCCATCAGATTGCAGACTTGAATTCTTTTTCGACTTACCCTGAAGATTTCTCTTCCTTTTTCCAGGAGAAGCTTTGCTCTTGGTCGTCGTCTTGCCCCTTGGACTGGACGACTTCGAAGCTTGGCCTGAAGAAATGTCAAAATTTCCCAAGAAAACATTCTTTTTAATATCATCTCTTGCAGGAAAAATAAATGGCCTATCTACAACTTTGCCTTGGAACTTGGGAAGGTTGTCCGGGAGACTAGCAATATGTTCATAAAATTCAGTTTCTTGTTCATAGAAATTAGAAACTGCATCAACCACATTTCTCCCAGACCTGCTAATCAGCTCTAATATCTGATCCTGAGTCACCCATGCAGGCAAGCACTCACGAAGTTCCTGGATAATCTTCTTCTGCTCCTCGTCATTCAACACGGATCGATCGGTAGAACCAACTTCTTGCAGAGAAGACAACGCCATACTACTACCACATGTTTCTGATACAGTTTCCATCTCTTCCAAGTCCTCATTTACAGTCATTGTGGCAGTTTCATCAATATCATCACTCATTTCTCCACGATGAAACCCTTTTAAGAATTCTTTTCTGTTGGCCATTTCATCAACTAAACCAGCAAAATGCTTCCTAATCTTATCAGCATGCTTGCTATCAAGTTTATCAACATCCAAACCTACAGTGGGAACAATTCTTCTAGGCTTCAAAAACTTAACAAATTCCCTAATTTCATTGTAGTTTGAATGTTCGCTATATGGCACCAAATGTATCTCAAGCGAATCCTTAGACCTCACTGAGAAGTTCTTGTGTTTCATCTCATAAGTCCACCCTGTTGGAACAAAACCAACAACCTTAGAATACCCCTTTTCCACCATTATATCATTCATTCTTTCAAAATTAGGCCTAAAATAAGGCCAGCTCTCACCCAAAACATTCCATCCAACAACATGAACATCACTTTCACTTTCATGCTCAGTAAACACCCCATTCTCACCACCATACCCCAAAATCCTTAAAACTGTCATTTTCCTAGCATCCACCATTATCTTACGATTACATCTACTTGCAATTTGAAGCAAAATTTTTTCCTTACCAATTACATAAGTTGCTATAAGGAAAAGAACACTCCCCATAGAACCCTTACTTTCACCTCCAATTTTTTGTATCATGTTGACAATATATTCAATAGACTCATCCTGAGAAGGAAAAATAAACTTCGGATTACAATAAGTAGTGTCCAAGAAAACTGCATCCGAACCAATAAACGTTTTCAAAACAGGGTCGATTATCATAGAATCACAAAACCGAAAATCCCCAGTATGAATATATCTCTCAAACTTTTCATCCGCACTAGGAATCTTAAACAAGAACTGCACCGCACCAGGACAATGGTTGGCATCAATAAGTATTACCTCACATCCATCGATTACTACAGGCTCCCGAAGCGGCAATGATTGAACAAACGGCAACGGGACTTTGAGAACTTCAAGCAAAAGGCGGGCGGTAACATCAGAGCAGAAGATGATACCCTTGCACCAAGTAGGGGAGAGACCGGCATAGTGATCGGAGTGAAAATGGGAAAGGAAATAGGAAACAGAGAACTCACCAGCGTGAGAAAATGCGTCGACGACGAAACGGGATTTGGGAATGAGTTTGGATTGGGGGAAATCGGCCGGTAATGGAGGCGGCCGGAATGGGAGCTTCAGAGGAGGAAGAGAGAGATTCAATTGCCGTGAAAAGGATTCAATGGCAGTGACGAAGGAGAGGGATGAGTCGATTGCTAAGGGTTTAGCGGTGGAAGATTCGGAAGCCATTAACCAGAGGCGTTGGCTCTGCGAAGAACCGCAATGAACTTCCGGAGTTTTCTATTTATATTATATGGGAAATTATAAGAACTCTTAAAAAAAAAAATAAAAAAAAAAAGTATTTTTTATTAATTTTTTAATTTAAGTCAATTTAGCCTTAGTTTATAAATAAAAATGGAATATTTTTAATTTTATTTTCCTATTATAGGTTGCTAAATTTCTAATAATGCATAAATTTATAAATTTCCCTTCCATTTGTGTTTATAACGTTCCATATGCCTAAATACTCGTAAACTTCAGAGTTCAGATATAATTGTACATCGAAATTATAAAAAGTTTTGATTTTTATCATGTCGATAATAATTCATGTTATGAAATTTTCAATTGTTAAATAGGTATCAGTGAGATCCCACATCTTTTAGAGAGGAGAACAAAGCACTCCATGTGGAAATCTCTCCGTAGTAGACACATTTTAAAAACCGTGAGAGAAATTCGAAAAGAAGAACCCAACAGGACAATATCTGCTAGTATGCATGTAGTTTAACTGAAAATCGGAAGATTTTATGCATCGTTACAACATGCTTTGAGCTGCAAGGAGAGCTATATTTTGTGCATGAATTGATTTGACATGTTATAAAATGAATTTGTGGTAAGTACACGTTGGGTGAGTTATCGTGTAATTAGCTACCAAGGTCATTGAAAACGGTGATCGAGGTCGGGGAAGGCTAAATCTCAAACTCAATCCAATAATAGACTATGATCACCAAACAAAACAAAACAAATAACAAGAGAAAAAAAAAACAATCAAAAGTAGCAATTGAAAGGATGGAATAGAGGATTAAGTAGTAGAATAGCTTTTCCATTGTTGTTCTTGCTATGAACTCGATCTCCATTGTTATTATTCTTCTCTTGAGAAACGAATTTGTGAGGCAAAGTGAAAATTAATGGTTCAAAATGAAGTTATGAAGATCCTCACCTTGAGATGTAAAGAATGGAAGATTTGATGGTGTTGGTGTTGATGCCTCCCAATGATGATACCCAAATGGAATGGCACCCACATTGTTCAAAAGCATTGAGAATGAAGAAGCTTGAGAGGGATTAGAATTGGGTTTGAGCTCATTTTGTTCGTCGGTGGCCGCGACACCGTCCTCGGCTTCCTTACCGATTTTGAACTCCGACCTATGAGGGCGTGTCTGGGCATGAGGTAGTAGCATGGATTGGTAGTCAAGGCCGAGGCTCACGGAAGGGATAGGCAATGGAGGGAGCTCGTCAATTTCATCCTTGGCGGCGTTGAGCAACCAGTCCACCACCTTGCTCGGCTGGTTAAGACCGAGGCGATCTTGAAGATCGTAAAGCTGAATCGCGGTCGATATCGAAAGCCTAATACGCCTGTCGCGCAGCCCTCTTATGGTATAAACTTTGCTGTGTCGATCCTTGCCCCCGAATGCTCGCGACACACGCACAATCCTCGGATCCTTTAGCCTAAGCCATGGTGTCACCGTCGATGAGCTCGATGAAGCTGCTATGCCGAGCATTAGATTATGAAGAGAATATGTACCATTTTGTTAATTAATACACAAAACCCTCAAAAACCCTAAGATCAAGAAGAACCCATTTCATGAAATCATTCGTAGGACAATAAAATTTCTTGAAAACATTATTACAAACCCCATAAGGATTTGTTTGATATGAGCTGAAAAAAACACAAATTTTCTTAAAAGTTTCAATCTTTTTGTACTGATTGAACTAATTCTGCCAATTTCTTTAGTGATTTTCGAGATCGAATCAGATAAAGCTGAAGAACATAAGGAATTGGGTCAATCACTTACGCATTAGCAGTGAACCCTTTTATGTGGTTGAGCTTCTAGGAAGGCTTGAAATTTGGAGACACAATTGATGAACTGCAAGCCTAGGTAGCTGTGGAATGTTGGGTTTCTTTATGGAAGGGCAAAGCTTTGGTTTTTATTTGCAGAGGTATCCAGCTTAGAAAAAAGAAGAAGATGCTGGAATTCAACCGACCATCCTCCATTGGAAAGCTAAAGCAATGGTTCGTACGCAGCCACATGGCTCGAATCGCTTTCGACTCAAATAATTGTACCACTCTTGACTTGATATTTAAAAGAAGAAAACTTGCCTCCATATCGATTAGAAATTAACACGAGATGCAAATGATGTTATAGGAATTTGAGCATATAAATGAGATCCTACGTTAGTTGGAGAACGAAGTATTCCTTATAAGAACGTAGAAACCTCTTCTTGGCAGACGGGTTTTAAAACCATGAGGTTGACGGCAATACGAACGTGCCAAAGTGGACAATATCTACTAATGGTGGGCTTAGGCTATTACAAATGGTACCAGAACCAGACATTGGGCAGTGTACTAGCGAGGATGCTGGGCTCTCAATGGGGATGTGAATTGTGAGATCCCACCTCGGTTGGAGGGGAACGAAACATTCTTTATAAGGGTTGGAAACCTCTCCCTACCAAACGGTTTTAAAATCGTGAGGTTGACAGTGATGGATAATGGGTCTATCCTATTACATAGATATTAAAACCGCGAGGCTAAGGGCATTACCAAAACATCAGGCTCTGTTACCGATCAAGTTAAGCGTTTAGGGTTAGCGATAATTGAATAGAGAACACAAACCATAGTGAAAAAGAATAGAAAAGAGGATTGAAAGATGGTTAATTATATGAATAGGGGACCATTTGGTGGTGCACATTTTTGAAAAGTAGTGAGTAAAGCTTTATCGACAACTACAAAAGGTTTGGGTGAAGGGGTATGGTATCACATGCACGCCTTGTACCAAGAGAAATTTAGTTGGATGTGCATCATGTGATCATCAGCAAATCCTACACATAATCACAATTAATCCTTAATATCATCATCTTAGTGCCAATAATACAAAAGGGTATCTAAAAAACACACCTAGAGAGAGAGAGAATGAACAGATATTAATATATATCAGTCCATGATAGATACATAGATAGGTAGGTATTGAGATAAACAATGAATGTGTAGATGAGGGACCATTATTGGCTTCATATTTCCTTGTCAAACACCAAAAATTGGACAACTCAAGCTTTTGGTGCAGAGAGATATGCATGGGCACCTAAACTTGGAAGTATGATTTTCAGACTCTTAACAACTGACACACACATTCATATTGGATTTCATACAATTAATCACTTTCTAAAACCCTTCTTCTTCGTATCCTGATTTGGTCCGTTACATATCGCCATCGGACTCAGACTCATGAATTTGAAACGCGTTTCCCAACTCTTATAAGGAACGCTTCGTTCCCCTTCTAAAGCTGTAGAAACCTTTCCCTAGTCACTTTTGATTGTTACAAAGGAGACTAATCTCGAGATATAAAAGTTATGGTAGCTATTACCATTTCTATCTAAACTTGAAGTAATCCTAATGTTAGGTGCCTCCTAAGAAGTATACGAGTGAGAACAAGATATATTGAAATGACTCGAGTTGATATGCGAATATAATCTTTGTTCTTATAAGCACTTCAAGACAAGTAGGTAATGTGATACTGTTGCAGGAGACGTAGGGAAACGTTAGAGTTATTAAGTGATAAATCTAGAATTGAAATCATGGTCTGAATCTCGAGCATGAATGCATTACACTTTATTTTTAAAATCTAAAACAACAATAAGAGAAAATTAATGAAAGAAAGAAAAAAAGGGTTTGGATGAGGGCATATGAAGAAGCAATAAAGAGCAGACATTTTGTTTTCTTTTTAGGCAAACAAAGCGCAGTGTTCATTAATGTTTGTAAGAAAACAACAAAAAGAGAAGAAGAATTAAATGAAATAAAGTGTTAAGGATTTTAGGGTTTTGGATAATGTTATGAAGAAGGGTATGAATTATTGGTGATTTTGTTGTTGAACACACTCAATCTTCTTCAGCTCTGTTGAGGAACTGATATCTAAAAGGGGAAGAACAGATTTGATGATATCAATGGCTATTCAATGAGGAAGAGAGAGATACCCATTTGTTTCAGTATTGCATGCTTCCACAAACGCAGACACTCTACACAACAGCCGAAATTAGACTTTATTGCTATTGTCACTCCCTAAATGCTTCACTTTAATTCTCCCAACATTATTTGTTATGTTTGGGAGGCAACCATCGGGGTTGTTGGGATTCGGATTCTTAGGAACGTTAAAAGAAAAACTCGATCAATCCAATCAGACCCAAATAAATTCATAGTTTAAATATATGAAAACTTTATCGATTGAGTTAGTTCTCAAAACTAAATTGGGTTGAATCGAATCCATCTAAATTCATATTGTTCTGCAGGTTGTCGTGTGAGATCTCATGCTGGTTGGATGGAGAATGAAACATTTGTTATAAAAGTGTGAAAACCTCTTCCTAGCAGACGCTTAAAATTGTAAGGCTGACGGTGATGTGTAACAGACCAAAACGGATAATATTTGCTAGCGGTGGGGTTGAGCTGTTACAAATGATATCAAAGCCGGTCACTAAAAGATGTGCCAACGAGGTCGTTGGCCGCAAAAAATGTGGATTGTGAGATCTCACATTGGTTAGGGAGGGGAACGATGCATTTCTTATAAAAGCCTGAAAATCTCTCCCTAGTAGACGCGTTTTAAAACCGTGAGGCTGACAGCAATAGGTAATGGGTCAAAGCGGACAATATCTACTAGTGGTGGGGTTGAAGCCAAAACAGACAATATCTACTAGTGGTGGGGTTGAAGCCAAAACGGACAATATCTACTAGTGGTGGGGTTGAAGCCAAAACGGACAATATCTACTAGGAGTGGGGTTGAACTATTACAAATGGTATCAGAGTCAGTCACCGAAAGGTATGCCAACAAGGACGCTGGCGGACAATATCTACTAGGGGTGGGGTTGAACTATTACAAATGGTATCAGAGTCAGTCACCAAAAGGTATGCCAACAAGGACGCTGGCCCCCAAAAGGGTAGATTGTGAGATCTCACATTGGTTGGAGAGAGGAACGAAGCATTACTTATAAGAGCATGAAAATCTCTTTCTAGTAGACGTGTTTTAATACCGTGAAGCTGACGGCTATATATTCAAATGGAAGAATGGATAGCCGTGGCATTTGCAGGATGTGTCAACTTTCGATGGTCCCTAAAGATGAATATCAATTCATTTAATACAAAAGAATTTGCTTGTCAACTTGCTGTGCTTCTTACACCTTTCAAAATTACCCTAGAAAAGATGTCAAATAGTTGATGAAAAGGAATGATAATCATCCAAAACCATGTGATAGAAGTCCCAAGATGCACTTCCTTCTGATATAGGCCTTTGACCAAATGGGCTTTCTCCCACGTACTTCTGTACATTTTCAGCTTCAGCCAAGCCTTCTAGGTAATTTCTAAGATCGCCTCCTGTTCCTGCCACACACACACACACCACAGCCAGCATGATTCTCAAACTTAAAAGGAAACACAACTTTACCTTTGTAAAAACACTTTTCAAATTAATTATCATGTCTATGTTAAGAATCATGGATCACCAATGGTATGATATTGTCCACTTTGAGCATAAACTCTTATGGCTTTGCTTTAGCCCCAAAACGCCTCGTATCAATGGAGATGTATGTACTCCTTGCTCATTCCAAACACATTTGTTCCAAACACATTCTACAAATGTAAACAATGTTTACTAAACATCACGCAAAATGTAATTTTGAACTCACCTAATGAAGTATCTTTGTCATCCAAATATGTGTAAGAATGTGGGAAAACTGCAGTATGTGGCTGCAAGAATCAACGGTTAGCAAATGACAAGATTAGTCCATCCATTACTATTGAGAATAGAGAAGATAAAACGTAATCGAAACATCAAGGCCATCCGTTGATTATAATCTTTAATGATCGGAAAAGTTAACTGAACATACAGAATTAAGCAACGCTTTGTACGGAGAATCGTCCAGCAACACCGTATTGGACTCGTTATATTCTCCCCGTTCCCATGGAAGATTCGGATCCTGCTTCTCCCAAACTCTCCTTAGTTGCTTGAAAACTAGAGGTTTGTGTTTGTTTTCGAGAGTATTAAATCTTGAAGCAGTGCAGTGCGAAAGATCCTGTAAAAGTGAATCCATAAAAGCAATGCCTCTCGTACTATATTAAAATACAGAGTTACGTTGTGCTGAATGCGAATTATATAGAGCACCAATGGAGAGTACGAATACAATTTCAAAAAAGAACTTTTTAAGTGAGTTTTTTTTTATTCCTCACCCAACAAAATAATAATTTGTGCTTCAGGCCTCCTACCAAATAATCAACCATTCTCTGTACATTCTTCCTTCAAAGCATTAAGAGGCTTAATTACTTCTTTGATATAGTTCCAATAAGAGACTAATAACATGTGAAACACAATTAATTCAACAATACCCGTTTCTTGATGACCATATGCCAACTTCAAATCGCTCAAAGCAGAACTTCATGAAATCTAAATAAGAAGGTCTTTTGAAAACTGAAATTTTCAAAATCAGAATTAAATCAAGATAGAGATAGAATTTGCATTGAACTTGGTTAATATAAAATGTTGATCGATTCTCACCAGCACATCGAGCAATATTAATGTCTGCTTTCCGGTCCTTGGGAGGAGGAGATACAATATCAACAAGCACACCATTAATATCAAGAATGAGAAGCTTTTTTCTCATCTGATATCGTGGTGGTCGTGAAAGTGGAGGTTTGAATATCGACAAGCCATTAGCTTCTTCATGGACGATACCAAGTGCACGCTGTTGGAAACTACCAGCTACCACTTCAGCATTACTTTGACCAAAATGTCTAGAGGATGACATTTTACTCAAATCTTGGGCACAACTCAGAACGCCCTTTTCATGTAGTTTATTATCCGGATTCTGCGAATCATCAGGGAACTTCAACATTGTCGGCCTATTTGTTCCCCCTTCTTCCACCACAACAAATTCGACTCACCAAACTGCATTGCACACAAATGAAACATTTAAATGACTGTTATCTACCCAGCTGTCAACTTCTATTATGATATGATTTGACGGTCATCAAGTAG